TGTGTCTTCTCATTTCCACAGGTTGGGGGGTGCTTCTGGCACCCATGCAGCTCACCTTCTCTGCCTTAGGAGTGTGGAATGGTGGCAGGGGAGCTTCCTTCCAGGTGCTGGGACTGGCTCACCTTCTCTGCCCTAGGAGTGTGGAATGTGTCAGGGGAGCTTCCTTCCAGGTCCAGGGTAGGTGTTGTGAAAGGGCCAGCCCAGAGGGGAGGAAATTAGGTAGGGATGAGAGGGATTCTGAGGGCCTGTTGAGGTTGACCTGATGGATAAGAGGGAGAAGACAAAGGTTGTTCCAGGCAGAGGTACTGATACAGAAAAGTTTTAGATAACTTAATAGATTGAATATTAAGGTAGTTGTAGAAGCAAAATAAGTAATGTGTTCTTTTAAGATTTGCTTTTCCTGTAACTCCTTGTTTAAGGTGAGGATTATCTGACTCTAACCAGTAACTTCCTTAACCTAACAAAGTTACCATGCCAGGGTGAATTTACAATGTATATGGCCTATCTTGTGTCTGTGACTTGTAAATAGGAACTGGAATTGTATTTACATAGCAAAGACCACTAGGGATGAGATAATGGCTAAAAAGGATATAAAAAGGGAAATGCTGAACAAAGAGGGTGCGGATACAGACCAGACTGGTTTCTGGCTTTCCCGTCCACTCACGAGAAGAAATTTTATTACTTTATCCGAATTCTGTGTCTCTGTGTATTTCTTTCCGAGATTTCTGCAACAGTACAGCATGTACAAATCAAACAGGTGGGGAGAGGGAGAGGGAGAGGGAGAGGGGGAGAGAGAGAGAGAGAGAGAGAGAGAGTGAGAGAGTGAGAGAGAGAAAGCTTTTAGGGGTAGGGGCTATTTCTGGAACCATGAGCATGAGCATGTCAGCACAGGGAGAAAATTGCAGAATGACAAAAATTGAGTCTTTGGGGCCACAAAGGATTTATGCTTCTCAGGATTTATGCCTGAATCAGCGGCTTTCACAAGGGATTCCCTAAGCACCCAGTATCTACCCTGCCTCCTCTGCCCTCCTGGTCATTGGGCCATTTCATTCCTGTCCCCCAGTAATCAGCTTAACTGTCCCTTCTCAAGGGGCTTTGCCTAGATCCCTTCATCTGAACTGACCAGCTCTGAAGCTTCGTCTCTGTTGTCACACCCTGTTTAAGTCCTTCAGAGGTCTTGTCACAAGTTGTGGTTAAATATGTGCTTTTACTTAGATATAGTCTGTCTTCATCTCTAAACCGTAGAAAGGAAGGACCAGGTGTGAGGGCAGCAACAGCATCTTTCCACCAGCACTTAGCACTTAGCACCATGCCTGGCAGAGGGTACAGGGAAGAGATAGAGAAAAAAGGAAAGGAACTCTCCTCTGGAAGACTGTGGGGGTTGGGGATTTACTAGAGAACAGTTTTTGTTTTATTTTTCATTAAGTTTACTGGTACATTTTAGGTATACAATACAGTTACATTCATCATTGGGATCTTGTACCTTTACATGATGTATCTTGGTTCTTATTTTTTCCCCATTCCTCTGCCCTCCCTTCAATCCCCCACCTCCCTATTTACAAAGACTTTGTTTCCATTTTTGCCTTTTCACATAGCTTTTCCTTTCCCTTCTTTCCTTTCCCCTACCCCTCCCACTTCCCCTACACCTTTAGACCTTTTCTTCCTATGTCATATTATCAATTTTACATTTTGATCCTTATTTACACTTTTAATTTCTCACACCAGAGAAACTATTCAGTATTTACTCATGTCTGTCCTATTTATTTCACTTAAGAGTATGGCCTCAATGTGCATCCATTTAGCTATAAATGTCTCTAGTTTCTCATTCTTTATGGCTGAGTAGTACTCCATTTTAAATATATTTTTAAAAAATGTATCTTCTTTATCCAGTCTCCAGTTGATAGGCAATTGGACTGTTTCCAAGTTTTAGCTATTGCAAACTGTGCTGCTGTAAACATGGGTGCTCATCTGTCACTGTAGTATGATTCTTTTGGGAAGATACTCAGCAGGGGAATAGCTGGGTCAAATGGGACCTCTGATCCTAGTTGTTTGAGGTATCTCCATATTGACTTCCCCAGTGGTTGCACCACTCTGCACTCCCACCAACAATGGAGAAGGGTTCCTCTTTCCCCACAATCCTGCCTGCATTTGTTATTGGTTGATTTCTTAATAGCAGCCATTCTTTCTGGGGTGAGGTGGAATCTCAGTGTTGTTTTCATCTGCATGTACTAGAGAACAGATTTAACCTGGTAGGTGGCTTGAGTCAGAGGTGTCATCTCAACAAAGCTAGTGGGAGACTAATAATATATTCCCCAGCTGTGTGACTTCCAAAATTGGTGATTTTTCAAAGAGTCAACTAAGAGCAAGTGAAGCTGAAGCGTTTAAGTTTTATATTATTAGACCCAATAAGGTCTAATAAGAGCAATGGGTGCACTAACAACACAGGAAACTCAGAGTTCTAATACCTGGGTTGCAGCCTCTGCTGGCCCTACTACTGAGTGGTAGCTGGGGGACACTGGTGCACCTTCTTCATCTGCCAAATGAAAATAAGAAAATAAGCCCTGCCTGCTTCATGGAATTATTATACTATTCAAAAAAGATAAGGCACATGTACAGTAAAAAGCTCTGAAAAGTGTACAGTAGTATATAAATATACAATATTGTCATGGCTTTTTAGTATTCTGTGTGCATCACGATGAAGGAACAAGCCAAGACACACTGACACACTCTGTCCTTTGTTTTTCTGGAACACACTCTCAGAGGGTGTGTGGCTTTGTGGTGTAGGAGGTGGGTTCTGGGATGATTAACCTGTGGGCAGCTATGTGCATAGCTCACCATCCTGAAATACCACTGACCTTGGTAACCTGAGACTAGAGGTCAGAGTTGAAACTAAATGGGTTTGACAGTGGGGAGGTTGCCAGGAGTTCTGAAGCCAAGAAACAAAGCTGCCTGGGACAAATTGAAAAGAACATCATTTCCCTGGAAACTTCATTCTGGGAATTTCTTCAGCTGATCCAAAAGAAATCTAAGAAAAACCTGGCACTAGAGGGAAGCACTGTTTGAAACTGAAGATAAAACCTCTTATCAGACCTACTTTATTACCTTTAAATCTGGCCTGTTCTGGCCCCCAGGTACAATCAGTCCATTAACATGTTCACTGATTATCTACATAGGGATACAATACAAGCCCGGGGCACTGAAAGCACCAACAATCTAACTAGAATATTAAAATATTAGATAGGTGATAGATAGATAGATCAGAGATTAATTATAATCTTACATATGTATATGTACAACACATACATACACAGAAACATGCATACATACATACATAAATAGATGCAAGGTTGAACAAGTACAAGCATGGGAGGGAATTAACAGTACGTGGGGAAAGAGCAACTGAGCGGCTACAGTGTGCCAGGTACAATGTGCCAGATAATTTCAGATACAGCAGCATGCTTATCACTACTGACTTCTTGCAGCAACACTGAGGAGTCCTCATTCACACGTGTCAGATAGGGTCATCTCTCCAGAGAGATGGAGCGACTTGCCCAGAGCCAGCCACCCAGGCCTTGTACCTTCATCTAAGTCTCAGTATTCTGGAGTCAAAGAAGAGCCCCCACCCCAGCCTCTCAGATCTGAGTTGTCTTTGTTATACTTGAGCCTTTGTTTTGTGTGAGAAGGGCTTGGAAATTCTGAGAATAGCCCCAAAGTACCCTCCATTTATGAAGAACTGAAACTAGCTCCTCAACCATTCCTGTCCTGGCCAACTTCAAGATTCCCAGGTGAAAGTGAGGCCTATCAGGAGGAATGAAAGAGCTTTCTCTTCAGGTGCTCACTCCCTACTGACCAGCGCAGAAATATTTTCAATCTTGGCCAGGCTCCAGAGGCACACTGAGGAAGCTGGTTTGGGGCCAAAGACATCTATGGTACATTGTAAACTGAGGTCCTCCCCTTCTTGCCCACTTTTTTTTACCCCTGCAGCTCCACCTGGGCATGCCTACCTTTTTCCCTGTCTCCCACCTCTGCATCCCCAGGGCCAGCAGGGTCTATGCAGAAGGTTAGCTCTAATATTGTGAGGAAAAGGGCACCTCTGGACATCTTGCCACAGATTGAGCTCTCTCCCTGCCCTTCCAGGTGACTCCCTTCCTGGTCCCCAGCTCTCTTGGGTGTAAGGGCAAGTGTCAGGGAATTCTACCCAGAGGCTACAGCCAAGAGTGAGTTTCAGGTCTACTTGGCTATGATGGGGAAGACTTGGGGCCAGGGGAACACTGTCGAAGCACTTCTGTTAGGAAGTTCAGCTGATCATGAAGGACAAAGACCCCTATATCTAGGATGCTCCTAAAGGGATTTTGTGGAAAGTTTAAGCATTCTAGGTGGAAGGTTTGGGATCCAAAAGAAAGGAAGAAAGGTGGAGAAATGTAGTCAAATTTCTCCCAGAGTCTCTCCCACCTCTTCTGGAGTGGTCTGCTGAGACTCTATCCCCTATTGACCTCTGTGTCTCACTTTGAAGCTCACCAGTCTGGAAATCACTAGGCCCTGGGATCAGAAAGTCTTGTTTCACATAGATCAAGATTTCTGTTGATCCACAAAAACCTCTTTAAGTGCATATACAGGGACCAGCATTTTTAAAAGGTGAAATTCTTGTTTTATGGATGGGAAGCTGAGGACTAAAGAGGTGAATTGACTTGCCCAAGCTCATATTGCTAACTCCCATTCCATTGCACCAGGATGGAGGGGTATTGTCCAAGAGCAGAAAGAACCTGGCATGGTGGGTGAGGTCACCCACTTTACTTGGCTCTCACAGGTCTTACATCTCAGGAGTCTTTCCTGCCTAGGGTCCAGGACCAAGGCTGAGATGTGAACTAAGAATCAAACCCTTGGCAGCCAGTTGTCATTGAAGAAGCTGGATAATTCCCACAGACACCCAGGACCAGGCAGAGCTCTACCAAGGGAGGATCTGCAGGAGGCTCCACCCACCTGTTTCTGCCCAACTGGTTCAGCAACTCTGTCTTCCCTAAAGAGCCAAAGAGTGAGCCACTCCACCACAGAGTGGCTGCACGCTCACATCCAAGGCCTCAGAGCTGAGATGGAAAGGATCCTGGGGACCCAGAAAAGTATGCCCTGCCTGAAAGTCCTGCCTGGAGAGCCCAAGCACCTGCCCTAATAGAGCCTCAACAGCTGCCTGGTAAGGGAAATACTGGCCCCTCATGGTTCTTTGAGGGAGGAGAGGGAAGGTGATCCAAATATAAGCCCTACTGGGACTGAGGAAGGGAAAGGGGCCAGGTCTGGAATTTGCTGAGCCCTTACTCTGTCCCCAGTCCTATTATAGACTGATCCCCTTTTTAAATGGAGGAAACTGAGCCTCAGGGGGAAGTTACACCATCTCGAAAGAAGTGGCAGAGCCAAAATTAGAGCCCTTCCCATCTGACACTAGAGCTGCATTTGCCTCTATGCTGCCAGCCAGCCAGCCAAACCGGCAGACATGGGTCTCACACCGCACCACTTTACCCTCTCTGATTTTCTTGGGGAGGAACCATGCCACCAAGTCCTCTCCTCACCTCAGCCTAACTCAGGCTCCGCTCGAGCTTCCCCAGTGGGCTCTGTCTCTGCTGAAGTGACTGAGGACCAGGAAACTGCCCAAGGAGGAAGGGGGCTGGGGTGTAATGTTTGGGCTTCACAATATTTATGCAATGGTGATTCTAGAACAGGAGTGAAAACTGCACATATTGGAGTTACCTGTGTTTCTTACAGCCAGTCCAGGAGAAAAGTGCCACTAGCCTAGGTGATCCCAGGTGACCCTAATCTCCCCTGTCTGACCCTGTCTTTCCCGAGGTGGTGCTAGTTAACTCACACTCTGGGTTGGGACCATGGGATGTATTAGAAAGAACTTGAGCTTAGGGTTCTCTTGGTCAGAGTGGGATTACTCAGTTCCCTGTGGAAGACGTGGAAGAGAGAGGAAGATGAAAATTGTTTATGTGGTATTTTTTTACTCCCATTTGTCAGGTGGGAAAATAAGGCTCTAAAAGGTTTTATATGATTCAGATGTGGCTGAATCCAAAACCCAAGCAAGTACAGAAGATATTTTAGCCAGAGAACCCCTCAGGGAGCGTCCTGGAAGTTCTGGGAACTGCACTCGGCAGGTGCAGAGGGCCAGATGATCCCAGGCAGAACCGCAGAGTCGCTGCTGCCTCAATAACCTTTGGGACACTGCCCTCTTGTGGCCGAGTGCACCCCTCTGTTAAACGCCATTGCCAACATCTGTATCAAAGCTGGGCTGCCTGAGCTTCCACTCAGACAGGCTGATACATAAATTACCACTTAAAAATTGGCTCCTTGGCTATATGTTGAGATGGCACCAGCCCACAATTGCTACTTGGTACATACAGCACTCCATCCCAGAAATAGGTTTGGTGTAAGGAGCAGGACCAAGTGTAATTTAGTTTAGTTTGAGGAGCTAAAGGTGTCCTCCCAGAGGCAGTACAAAGAATAGGGTCCTGGGAAATGTAGATTCAAGTCATGTCCACTTAATAAGTGAGTGATCTCAACTGAATCCCCGCACAAATCTGAGATTCCACCTATGGACCAGATGCCCATGAAATTAAATGTCACCTAGCATCTAGCAGGCATGTAGAAGGCTTCTCACCTTTCTTTTCCTCTATAATAAAGTAAGTCATACTTGGCAGCCTAACAGAGCATGCAGGGCAGGAAGAGAATCACATTTTTTCTTAGCCTGGGCAAAGCTTCTCAGAACTTGAAGCTCCTTGGAGAATAATCAGTGCCCCATGGCCCAAACATTTTCTCTTCTTAAGCCACTAGGAATGCTCTATTCAATAAGACACTTGGAGCTAAAAACTAGATGGTTCTCCAACTTACTTGATGAAAGGCAGTTTTCTATAGAACGTAGAGGAATTGTGGAATATCGCTAAATGAGAAGTGAGCCCATTGAGGACTAGAAAGAAGTTGCAAATACCAAAAACTGGGGAAGAGGGTGAGTGTGAGTGGGTTACAGGGTGGTGTAGATGACATCCACTTCTTTGTCTTACATCTAGAGGGCCCCCAAACTCCTATGTCCAGCTGGCAAATGCAACACACCCCAAGAATCTAATGACTGTCTCCTAGCACTATCCCTTCCCCCCACCCCCAGTGGAGTGGATCACTTGATTTCTAAATATGCCCCTGTCTCTGCTTCTGGTATAGAGTGGGTATATGGCATAAGGCACCTCAGCTCACTACTTGCGTATCTCTCTGCCTCACAAGGCAGGGCCTCTGGAGGTGCCTCATGTGTCTGGTTCATGGGAGGAGTCTGTTCATCCCATGGAACCTGTGCAGAGTATGGGAGCCACTCCGTGGACCCTCTGGAACTTGATGCTGGGGACAAGGGACAGGACAGGGATTGGGGGAGGACTAAAGAAGAAAGTATGAATATGGTCACTGGCAGATTGTTGCTACTAGTTTTATATCTTGATATTTTTAAAATGAACATCAGGCTGGGCTAGTTAGGCCTCTCTAGCCCCTCTGAAATTATAAGCAACTTTTTAATTTATTTTTTATGGTACTGGGAATCAAATCCAGGGCCTTGTGCATGTTTGACAAGTGCTCTACCACTGGCTACATCCCTGCCATTAGCTAGTATTTTTGATGAGCAGGAAGAAAAGGGCTGAGGTGGAAAAAGAGAACAGAGTGCAGAATTATAAAAGCTTATGTATGTGCAACATGTTATTCATGATTTTGTAGTAGTAAGAACTTTGGAAATAATTTAGTGTTTATAATTAAGACACTGCATGTAGGCAAATATTAGCAAGTTTAAGTTATGAGATACCTGACAGCCATTGGAAAGAATGAAGCAGATCTATAAGAGCTGACTCAGAAGGGTGTTGCTAATTTTTGAGAAAAATCACATTCCATGTGCAGTGACCAAGGACTAGGGTCACCATGCTTGGATTCAATTTTGCCCTGCCCTTGTTAGATAACTTTGGAAATGTGTCCTGTCCTCTCAGAGCCTTTGCTTTATCCTTTGTAAAATGAGAATAGTAGTAACCACTTCAAAGAAGGGTGAAGATTTTAGAGGTATTTAGCACAGGTAAGTGTGCGTTAAGTATTCAATAAGTGTATGATATTTTAAGTGGAAAAGAATAAATAACAAAAAACGATGTACTATCACCCTAATTTTGCTTTTCAATTTTTTAATGTAAAAATATGTGTACATATAAATATATATGTGGATAAAATAATTGTTAACAATGGATCTCTTTGAAATATGAGATTACAGAGGAGAAATGGGGAGGGGACCTACATTTCCTTTGTTTCATTTTAGTCTTTTTAAGCAGACTTTATTTTTCTAAAGCAATTTTGAGTTCCCAGTAAAACTGAGCCCCCTGTCCCCCAAACAGACCATTGCTTCCACCATCAACATTCCACATCAGAATGTTGCATTTGTTCTATTCTAAGAACTTACACTGACATATCATTGGGATTTACACTTAAATTTATTCATTTCTGTCTTGTTTTCATTTCTACTTTGAGCAGGTATTGGTTTTATAAATAGCATGATATTACTTAATGATAAGCTGGATCTGACCAAAGCTCCAGAATGGCTAGATTCTAGAAAATGGCCTGGTTTCCTGAAGTTACCGGTGAGAAAGGGCTGGCCCAGTTAGAGTCTGTCTAGGAAGGGCATCTGAGCCTGAGAACTCCTGTTCTGCTGCCACAAGCATAATGGGCCAGAGGCTGGCCTGCCCGGCTGCCTCCTGCTCTCTCAAAGAGACATCTGACTGTAGTTCCCACATCTGAGGAGGCCAGGCCCTGGCCATGCCCATCCCCACGTACACATTGGTACAAACTAACCACATGGCTGCAGAGCTCCCAGGATCAGGTCAGGAAGATCATGAGAGCAATGAATGTCTTCAGGCCAACAAAAGCACAGTCCTGAAGCCAATACTGAAAGAAGAGAGTACCCGCAGGAGTAAGGAAGCCAGTACTGAAAGAAGAGAGTACCCACAGGAGTAAGGAAGCCAGTACTGAAAGAAGAGAGTACCCAAAGGAGTAAGGAAGCCTTCCCTGGGTTCAAAGTCACCTCTAGTATTCTAGTATAGTATCCTTTCCATGACCCCTGTTTCCTATTCCGAAGACAAGACTAACATGCCCACCACACGAGGGATCTATGAGGATAAAGTGAGAACACAACCTGTCTCCCAGGCCTCGACTCTGGGATCAATAAGAGAATGTTATGCTGGGCCCAGGTGAATGTAGTTGGGGTGTCAGAACAAGGTGCATATAAGAACAGTCTTGGGGTTCCCAAATATGCAGGCCAGGCTACATTTCCTGGTAACAGTGCACCATTCATTGCCCAATTAAAGTCTCAGCCTTTATCTGGGGTGGACTTAAATAAACCCATTTCTCCGTAATGATGTACTGTATTCCAGATGACAGGCAGGGAACAGGGATTGTACTAAAAAGTATGAAAAGAGGGTGTTCCCTGTGCATGTTGGGAAAATATTGCTTCTGGTGACCCCAGGAGACAGTGGTCAGGCTGGCAGTAGGTGAGCCCGTGGATTTTCTCCTGACACTGCCCCATCATCTCCCCAGGTTTTTCCTACATGAACCCCTCTTTGTGAACATCTTCTCAACATGAGCAACAGTCTCCACTTGACCTTCATGTGTCTGAGTCTCTTCACACAAAGGTGAGCTTCCCTACTTCAAAATAGGTCAAACTGCTTCCTTTGACCTTGGTCAAATTGCTTCATGGAATAGCCATGGGGTAGGAGGGGTGACAGCATTTCCTACTTCTAACCCAGTCTCTTCACTTCCCTAAGCCCTGAACGTGTATTCCATGTACAAAGCAAGCGTTCCCAAAATTGTTGTTAGTGGATGAATCTCTTGTGTTTTTTAAGAAGACACTTGCAGGTTTCCCAAATTTATTATGAAATTTTGATTTATAGCAAATGGATAATGCACGGAGATGCTAACTCACCAGCTGAAAATTAAGACTTTCCCCTAGGAAAGTCAGTGCTGGTACACAGGCACAACGCACATCCAAAGACAAGTTCAAGTTTATGTCTACACATGTTTATTCACCCATAAGTGTGACAAAAACAATTTTCTTTTCCAGAATGTGTATCCAGGGGAACAAGTTAAATCTCGAGGTCAGCAGAAATGACAAGCTTTCCCTGCCTGGCTTTGAGAACCTTACAGAAGGATATAACAAATTCCTCAGGCCCAATTTTGGTGGTAGGTTATCCTCTGTGACTAATACATCAATTCCAAAGGACAGGAGCAGAGACAAAATGCAGCAGAAGTTTCAGAGTCTTCGGGAGGTTCTGGTTGATTCTATTTTCCAATACAATCACTTTTAAGGGTTGGAAATGATAACTAGTGCCAATGATTTTTCATGCTACTTTGAAGAAAGCACTTTGCCTCTCCACTTGCAAGATAAAAACATATTCTTCCCCCTTGAGGAGGTTGCAAGAGCTGCTAACAATTCCTCACACAGTCTTCCTTCTGCCCTTCTGAAACCTGCTGCACACCACCAGCAGTACCCTACCTAGTCTTCCTGCCTCCAGTCTGCTGCCTACCAGCTAAGCCCCTCACTGCCACCCGGATAGCCCTTCTGGTCTTTGGCCTGCTCAGAACATTTGCATGTGCCCCAGCATCCTTGCCTAGGGTCCCAGTGTGCCAAGCACTTCCCAGCTCAGCCCCTGTTTGTCTGCCATTGTTCTCCTCTGCAGTTCCTCTCCCTGCACCTTCTTCTGATGGTCCACAATGTGCCTTGAATGGTCCCTGGCATTCTCAGCCTCCCTCCCCTTCATGCCCTTGTAGAAGCTTTGACTTGCTTTTTCAACTCAAGTTCCTGGGAAAATGGCCAATTTCCCTTCATGTCCCAGAACAAAGATGATCTCCTCTAAGACATTTTCCCTGATTCCTCCAAGTCCCACCCCCTTTCTTCACACCTTATTTTGAACACACCTCCTAATCACTATACTCAATTTTATGATGGTCTCTGCTCTGGGTAGGAGCCCCTTGTGGGAATCTTGTTTCATTTACCTCACTCAACCCAGCAGAAGCTTCCTGCTTGACATAGCAAGGTGTCAACTAATACTTGTTCAAAGAGTGAGGCAAGGAGGGAGAGAATGAGACCAGCTATATAACTCTTCATAACAGAAAGTAATAGAAAGAACTTTGGAGTCGAATAAACCTGAGTTTGGCTCCAGGTTCAACTGTCTGGCAAGTGCCTTAGGCTTTCTGAGCCTGTTCCCCTTTCTGTAAAATAAGAACATCCCATCTCCCTCACAGGAAAGGCTGAATGGTGTGAAGTGCGTAGGCACAAGGCTCAGTGCCTGCCATGTCAACAGGGGGCCTTCTTCTTTAATCCCTTCCCCTTCCTGCTCCTCCCTGTAGATGGGAAAATTCTCCCATCAGATCTCGGATTAGTGTTAGCTCAGAGCTGCTGAAGGGCAGATGCTAGGAGTGGGTTATCTGTTTCAGATATTTATTGGGATATGCTATCAAGAGTGAGGGAGGAGAGCTCTCAGACCGGTTTAGGTCAGACCTGGAGGAAAGGAAAGGAAAGAAAGGAAGGCTGGGTGGAAGTGTCTTATACACCAGTGCAGCTCTACGAGAAAATGTTCTTGGAAAGGCCATCAGGGAAGCCTTGAGCCAAAGTTGCCCATCAGAGTACTCTCGTCTCTGTGCCTCTGGAAAGAGGATTGGCTTAGTGTCCCTGCTTGCTCACCTCATTGGTTGGCTGTAGCCCATAGGCAGCATGGCCTCAGAGCAAGGGTGCTGATAGATTCCAGAGTGGTTACCTTACCTGGAGATCTGAGAGCTGCATGGCAACAGAGTCGGGATTTGAGTTCTTAGGTCAAGGAATCCAGAGAACTTTCACATCCCCTGGGTTTCCCTGCCTCTGTTCAACACTAATGGCAAGCTGTGAATTCCTTGGTTAGGTTCACTCTACAATTGCTCTTGCCTCCCAAGCCTCAAAAAATTAAGTCAGGACACTGCCCTGTTCATTTGTTTGTTTGTTTGTTTTGCTCTTTGGCCAACAAGACACAGGGTCCTTGGACATGGAGGTCATGCTGAGAACAGGGAGCCTGGAATGGACCTAAGGGAATGTGAGGCCCAGTCCTATTCAGGGCAAAATGGGACATGAGGTCCTCAGTCAAAAGAAGAAGAGGCACACAAAATAGATGCTATATCTTCCCAAATCATGCCTTCATGGCAGGCTCTTGTCCGAGTCTTTTATATAGCTATAACAAGAATACTGGAGCCAGGGAAATTTATAATGCATTGGTTCACAGTTCTGGAAGCTGAGAACCCTAATGTCAAGATACCAGCACCTGGCAACAGCCCTCTTGCAGCACCATCAGATGGCAGCGAGGAAGAGAGCCAGAGAAAGCAAGAGGGGGTGAACTCATCCTTTCAAAATGGCACCAGTCCTGTCCATGGGGGTCCTACCTCTTAGCACTGTTATAATGGCAACTAAATTTCAACCCAAGTTTGGGAGAGAACAAACATTCAAACCATAGCAGCACAAGTAAAAAACTAGCACAGAGAGGTTTAGCAATCTGTTCAAGGTCCCAAGGCTGTTATGTAGCCAGCGTGGGATTCAAACACCCATCTTTGACACCATTTGTGTTGCTGGATTCTGCTGCTCAGAGGAGCAGAAAGCCCTTCAACACCTTGCAGAATCGACCTGCCCTTGAGGATCTCCTCCTTTCCCACCAAAGATTAACAGTCAAATATCTTGTATAGTTGTATTGGCTCTAAAACTCCATTCCAAAGTCCTACCTACATTCTATGACTCAATTTCCTTAGATTAATAATTAAATTGCTTTGTCTGATTCCTATCAATCAATTGTTTCCAAGCTTCTTTTGGTGGCCCACCTCTCCTCTTCCTAGTTAATACATTGCCACAGTCCCCTGAAGCACTGCTAGTTATTTATCACAAGTGCATGCTATTGCATCCATTAATAGAGCCAACAGAGTTGTTTCTTCTCCAGCATTGGCTAGGTTTATGAAAGAGAGGGAGAATGAGAGGGAAATGCCACTGACAACAGGATTCTGGAAGCCCTGTAGAGGTAACATTTCTGAGCACTTTCAGGAAGGTGCTTCAGATACAGTCCCTCTTGCTGCCACTCTGCAAAGATACTGTCACTCTCCTAGCCTTATTTAACCCTCTCCTTGACCCTACAATGTCTTTACTATCATTCCCACTTGCAGGTGAGAAAACCGCAGCTCTGGAAGCTTCGATAACTTTTCCCAGAGCACAGAGCTAGGGTGTGGCAGAGCTGAGGTCTAAACTCACATGGTTTGTTGTTCGCACTCTGCAGCCTCTCATCCACATCTCTGGCCCAAGCAGAAGCAAATGGTGCTGGCCTGGCCTTGCTTGGCATCTGAGAAGGGTGGACTTCACCTTTCCATCTCCAGAGCTAAGACTGGCTCTCTGGAGTTTGATCCATCTGCCAAGACTCTAGTATTGAGGCCCCTAGGGTTTGTGTACAGGAGAGGATTCTGGAATTCTAAATGGTTTAGGGTTCCTGGAGAGTAAAGGAGGAGGAGGAAAGAGTCAGGAGGTCCATGAGAACTCAGCCATGAGCAGTCTTGAATAGCCTCTAAGTAAATTTACTTATTCAAGAGAAGGGGGAAACCATCTTTCCACACTCAGATTACCATATCTCGGTCACATTCTGTGTGATTAGTCCCTTGCAACCATCACAGAAAATATCCGCCCTATAAGAAGTAGCAAACACATTACCACTACATTCTGGAAAATATGCACTAATTAATAATGGTGCAATCTCTCTTATGAATTATGACAACTATGTATTTGCGCATACTTTTTATACAAAAAGGAGACATACTTTAAGGGAGAAATTAGAAATTATCCTCTTACTTTCTATACTTTTAGATTGTTTAAAATTTCCTAATAAGCAAGTATTACTTCTGAAAATTTTCTCATTACTGGAGATTGAACCCAGGGCTTTCACAATGAGTTACATCCCTAGCCCTTTTTTATTTTTCATTTTAAAATAGGGTCTTACTGAGTCACTAATTTGCCTGGGCTACGCTCAAACCTGAAATCCTCCTGCTTCAGCCTCCCAGAATGTTGGGATTACAAGTGTGCACCACTGTGCCTGGCCTTACTTTTGTAATATTTAATAGATTTGTTTTCCCAATGCACTAATGTATGTGGTGGCTGTGTGGTCCTAAGGGGGAAGGAAGCAGAGGATTAAATGGGTGGATGGGAAGAGAAAGAGGTGTTTTTGTTTCTAGGTTAAGTCTTTCCGGTTTTTCTTCATTCTTAGGTGAACCGGTTCAGATAGCACTGACTCTGGACATTGCGAGTATTTCTAGTATTTCAGAGAGTAACATGGTATGTGTTGTCCTTTTGACCCTCCTTGTGTTTAATGGGGATATACATTCTAGCTACCTCAAAACAGAAAAGACTTACAGTCCTCCTCCTATTGATATAACAGAAGTTGGAGCCCTGTCTCCAAAATCAAGACAGTGGAAGACTCTTATAGAATAGGTTTTCTGGCCCGGGAATTTAGTTCAGTGGTTCTGCCACCTGCCTTGAAAGAGCAAGGTCCTGAGTTCAATGCCCAGTACCAAAAAAAAAGGCTGTTGGTAAAGAAGGCCCACTGTGCATTTCCAGTAAATCCTGGGCAAATGAGCACCTCACTCAGCATGGACCTCAGCAATTTGCTGTGGCCTTTGTGATTTCAGGCATTGAGCTTGCATGCCACATAGGTCAAGGCCCTAAAAATGGAGTTCCTTTTGGGAAGTGGGAATTATTATTGATAATAAATAAAGCAGTCTGTTACCTTCTTGCTATAGGCAACTACCCTAAGACATAACTTTACCTATGTCTACAATCACTCTTGTTTGTGTACTCCTAACCTAAGTAGAGATGGGGAGGGAAGTAAAATATGACCCTTTTCCTTCTATTTTTGGAGTCCCCCTCCTCATTCATTTCCGTTCCCTGCCTTCCCCTTAGGACTACACTGCCACCATATACCTCCGGCAGCGCTGGACAGACCAGCGGCTCGTGTTTGAGGGCAACAAGAGCTTCACTCTGGATGCACGCCTTGTGGAGTTCCTGTGGGTGCCAGACACTTACATCGTGGAGTCGAAGAAGTCCTTCCTCCATGAAGTCACGGTGGGAAATAGGCTCATCCGCCTCTTCTCCAATGGCACAGTCCTGTATGCACTCAGGTAAGCAAGTACCTGTGACTTTGGGGAAGTTTCAGGGGAAGCAGCTTGAAGAGAAAGCATAGACATATCTTGAGTAGTTCTGATCCACACTAAAGGTCTGAGGTCCATATGTCTCATGTTCCTGTCCACTTAGATCCTGTCCTCATAACAGAAGGGCCATGTCTCCATCCAGTCTAGCTCCATAGCTTTGACTGTGCTAGGCCCTGTACTGGACTTTGAAGATACAGAGCTGAATAAGATGGGTCCTGTCCTCAAGGACATAGACATGTCATCCAAGGAAGTCCTGAATGCTAGGGCCCAAGTTGGAGAGGAGGTTAGCGCTTTACGGATGATGTTATAAGATACTTCCACAGGATTCTGTGTCTTAAAGAATAGAGAGAATTTATTAAGGAAAGAAGGAAAGGCACAGAGAGTGCATGCCAAGAACTTTTCTTTTATGGGGCTCAGTGGAATAGGAGTAACTCCAGAATGCATCTCTATTTATCTGAGTCATATTTGCACAAAATCAAGGTGCAGTGCTCCAAAACTTGTGCCACTTGTAGCCATGGACTTCCTTAAACTCATCGCCAAATCCCTGAGACCTAAAGTTCCTTCCATCTAATTATTTATGGAGCACACAGGTGGCTGGAACAAGAAAGGTACTCCCTATGTGTTACATGAGGCAACCTACAGTGGAGGACTCATCCTGTGCAAGGGATATGCAAGCAGTATGTACACTCATGCTCCCAAGGCCAGGAGCCAGGAACCAAATACTAATGGGACTGATCTTTAATCCCAAGTAAGAATCTGAAGTTATAAAGCAAAGACAAAGCAAATAATAAACAAAACTTCTGGATATGCCACAGCAGCACTGAATTTTGTAAAGACCAGTTCAGACCCCAATGCCTCTTTCAAGAAACCTCACTAGACCTCTCCTTTGACGCCCAACTCCAAGCAATATGAATGTCTCCCTTCCCCACGTCCCCATCCCCACAGGACATATGTGTATATGTGTGCGTGTACGTGTATGTCTGTCTGCATTACAGCACACAGCACAATCAGTCATAGGTAAGAGTTTTGAATAATAGGTAAAGGTCAACAGCTTGGCTCTAGAGTCAGATTTGGGTACAAATGTGTCCTTAGAAGTTCTGTCATGTTGGACAAGTTACTTGGCCCTCTGGGCCTCAATTTCTTCAGCAGCAAAATGAGAATAATAATATTTCCTACCTTATAGAGCTATTCAAAGGTTTATGCATGTGAAGTACTTAGCTTAGAAACAGGCTAACAGCAAACACTTGACAAAGAGTTGTTGTTATCCTACCTCCTTTGAGAGAGTGTGAGCTTCCTCAAAGTGGGCACTGTGGTATGATCACCTCTACCTCTTAAAACACCTGGCATAGTTCTTAATAAATAAGAGGGCCTAGTTCAAATTTGTGACTCAAAAAAAAAATGAAAGTAAAGGCCTATTGATTGAAATATCCACTGTGAGGAAATCACTGACAGTTAGTTGAATGTACCTAGGTGTTGAGCACCGTATTATTCAGCTTTACTGTTGCTGAGACAAAATACCTGCAACTTATATGAGGATTTATTTTGCCTCACACTTTCAGTGGGTCCAGTCCATGGCTAGGTGGCTCCAAGACAGAAATGGCATGGAAGAAGGGCATGGCAGAGGACAGCTGCTCATCTCATGGCACTCAGGAAGCAGAAAAAGAAAGAAGTAATTGGGCATAAGAATACACGCTTCCTGGTTATACCACCAGTGAGCTGCCCCCTCCAACCAGGCCCCACCTCTATCTTAGTTACTTTCTCATTGCTTGGACAAAATACCTGACACTCACAAGTTAAAGGAGGAGAGATTATTTTAGCTCACAGTTTGTAGATATTTCAGTGCAGTCAGCTGGCTTCAAGGCAAGGCAGCATGGCAGAGGAGACACAGTTCATGGCATGGCAGGCAGGAGGCAGTGAACCTTCTTTCTTCTTTTCCTTATTCCATCCAAGCTACAAGTCTATTAGTCGATGCCACCCACACCCCAGGTGGGTCTTTCCTTTTCAGTAAGTGCATCACTCACACCTAGAACTACACTAAACTAATCAGTGAGATAATCTAGTGTCACACACTCACAATCCAGTCACTCCCAAAAGCCCCACCTATAAGGCTTTGGAGGGAACAGCTAGATATAAGCCACAATAACCTTCCAACATGAGACTTCTGTGGGGGACATTTTAGATCTAAACTATAATATTCTACCCCTGGCCCCTCAAAGGCTCATTTCCATCTCATTATGAGAAATGCATTTAGTCCATCTCAAAGCATCACCAAAGTCTTAACAGTTCCAGCATTCCTGAATGGTCCACTCCAAAGTCTCCTCTGAGACTGAAGACAAACTCTTAGCTGTGAGCCCAAAAGAAAGTTAAATACTTCCAACATACAGTGGCACAGGGTAAATGTTTCCATTCTAAAATAGAGAAATAGAGGGATAGAAAAGAATGGGACCAAAGCAAGATGGAAACTTCACAGGGCAAACATTAAATCCTGTAGCTTCATATTCAGCACCTAGGGCAAGCTGTGGTGAGATGTGGAGTCCAAAAGGCTTGGGAAGCTCTGCTCCTATGACTTTGTAGCTGCAACCCACATGGCTTCTCTCTTGGACTGCCTCTGCCCACTGCCCAAAGCTTTCCTTGGCAGAAGTTTCCCATTCCTGACGTCTCTAACTTCCTGGGTTCCCCACTGCAACTTTTGGTTTTACTCTCACAGCTTCACACATTGCCCTCTCAGCAACACATCTTCTGGCCTGGCAGACCTTCTTATGATATCTGGATGGAAGCCTCCGTGATTCTGCAACTCTGGCATTCTGCATGCCTGAAAACCCAGCACCATGTGGATGATGCCAAGGTCTACTGCCAATCTGAGCAGTAGGGGGCCCCCCTTGGATCATGACTACAGTGGCTTCTGAGTGTCTGGATGAATGAGTATAGTGAAGTGAATCTCAGGGAACTGATTCCCTAGGTGCCCCTTCTCAACCAAGAGGCCTGAGTGAAAGGTTTATACTTTTGCACATTTGAGCCTGTGATAAAGAGTCTTTCTGATTCCTCAGGTGTCTTAATCCATCTTTCCTATTCTGATGCAAAGTATTTGGCTTCTTTTTAATGCTAATCTTTCCAGAAAAGGTTTTAAAATGCCAACTAGAGAAACCCTAGAATTCTGTAAACAAAGTTTGATGGGTGATTCTAGTCAGAGCTCATAGACTTGTCATAAAGATTGCATTGAAAAGCAATATACAAGATTATCTCAAACAAGCCAGTGAGTGAGTTTGTTCTATGATGTTGTTGGAAATCTTGCCTCTGGGTTGCCAGGTTTCCAATTTCCTCCACTCTGGACCCAGCTTTAACTGAGCCTCAGTGGTTTGTTGAGTGTAGAAAAACTCAAAAATGCTTTGAATCTGGGCTCTAAGCCATTATTTCTTGTAAGGGTCCAAGTGAAAGTTCTTTTGGAGTGGTCCTTGGAAGGGGATATATACTTTCGATAGTGTTCTTGTAATACCCTTTCTGAGCCCATTTTTTTCTTTTCTTAGAATCACAACAACAGTTGCATGTAACATGGATCTGTCTAAATACCCCATGGACACACAGACATGCAAGTTGCAGCTGGAGAGCTGTGAGTATATGTCCTACAGGTCCCTAGAGGTGATTTCCTGAGTAACTTGGATCTATGTATTCACAGATTGTTCTATGCCTAGTGATCCTTCTTTTTTAATTTACGATGGGTTCAGCCCTTCTGACTGTACTTCCACACAAATTTAGATTTTCCTTGAAAAAAAAATCCTCTAAGATTAGACCTTTGGGGGAGGCCCATTGTACATTAGTATCAGATATACCCATCTGCGAGCAGACAAGACAACCAAAGGAAATGATTAAAGGTAGTTAATGATCCACTCCATGGGTCAGCAAACCATACCCATGTGCCAAATCCAGCCCATCACCTGTTTCTGTAAATGAAGTTTTATTAGAGCACAGTCATGCCACTGATTTACATACTGTCAATGACTGCTGCAACACTATAATAGCAGACTTGAGTGACAGAGACTATATGGTCCACAAAGCCTAAAATATTAACATTCTTCTTTGCTGAAGAGGTTTTAATAAGCTAATTCCAGGTGAATTTCCAAGAAGGAATGATAGCATTTCCCAAACATATGTAACCATGGACTCTTGTTTCATGAGTATTGCTATTTTATAGAAAACATCTTGATGAAAATGGATCTAGACTAGCACCTGATACTTAAACTTGTAATGTTTTATTTATGCCATCTATCTGGCTACTCATCCTCAAAGGGTCTGTGATTCCAGGTGAGTTATTCATGAATCGATGAAGATGTATGGATATTCACCCACCCACTCTTGCTCTACCAAAATCAAATAAATGCAGCTCCCTACAGAAGCTGATGAAAAGGTCATGGACCTTTCATCAATGCCCTTTCCATTTGTCAGCAAATGCACCCAGAGCTACTCTTTGAGTTCCAGAAAGCTTCAAAAGCACTGTGGTTGCAGGGAAAACCTGACTATCTACTACAGAGGAAGTAGGGAAGCTAGTAGGGAAAAACTTCTAATATAATAAAATTTATTATAACTTCAATCTGCTGTGGCTCTGGTCTTCTTGACCAAATGATTTTTCCATTATTAACAACAACAATGACAATGATGACAACAACAACACGTGTTCTTTTCCTGTAAATACTATGGCATCCTTATTGCTTACTACAAGATGTGATAGAAAATTACAATGAATATTTAAATTTTTAAAAAATCATTTCAGCAAAAGACATACTGCCATTAATTGCCCTCAAAAGACTCACTTTTAACACACTTCTCCCATCATCCTTGCTACTTTCTGAAGCAGTTCTGGAAGCCTTCTTTTGTGAATGTTTTTACAAGGTATGATTAAAAAGTAGGGTAAATATTGCTGCTGAGTGCCATCCAACAGAAAGGCAGGCTCATAAAAACAGTACAGCGTGTCTTCATCCACCTTATTCTCCGTATCTGGTACCATGTGACTTCTAGTTCTTCCCTAAAGTCAAAATGACCATGAAAAGTAAACCTTTTGAATCAATTTAGGGTATCAAGGTAGCCACCACAGCACAATTAAAGATATTCACTAAAAAGAACTTCCAGAACTGCTTCTGAAAGTGGCAAGACTTATTGAATAAATGTGTTTGAGGTGAGAAAGACTATTTTGATGGGGATTAATGGCAATATGTCTTTTACTGTAATAAAATTTTTAATGTAAACACTCACCATATTTTTAGATCATATACTCCATGCTAGCCAACTCCACTGGAAATTTCAAACAATCCTGAGATAATGTTATAGTTATAAAAATTGATGCTCATGTAACTTACTTAGCACTTTCCCAAAGGGACCCAGTAAGTAAATAGCAACACTGAGGCTGGAATCCACATAAAGTATTATAAAGTTTGAAGATCCCCGAACTCAGATAGCCCTTCCACTGGACTGGAGAGTCACACAAAGATTTTTGTTTCAGTTGCTTATTTGTGTTCTGAGCTATATATTTTTTTCTGAGTACACTATAAAGAGATTTTAAAGAGTAATATGGGGATAATGAAAAGCTTTTAATAATCCTTTTCAGTTTCTCTAGTGCTCATTTGTTATCATAATTTTTCACCAAATTGAGTAACCACATGATGCTTGTTTTGAATTCTCTAAATCCTGCCAAAATGTTAAACTGAATCACAATGTGACTTTTACACAGTAGTCTCAAACATATTCTCATGCCAGCTCCTTTCCATTACTTAGGATCAAGGCCAATGTTTTTCCTTCCCTTTGTATCCTAAGGAAAATATTTTGACTCATTCCTTAGCCTTTAGAGGCTAGTTCTACATATTTTCCCACTAGAGTCTCCAGCAAGTCTGAGTGGGTAGTTGAGTACCATCTGTCTGCCCCCTCTACCTGCATTCAATTTACCCATTTAACAACTAGGTGACTGCAGCACAAAGGTAAAGATGATGTGTCAGTCATCAAGAAGTCTAACCCCCTGTAGAGGGTACAGGACTTAAATAATTATGAAAGAATAAATAGTATCTTTAAAAAGTAATGGCACTGTAGAAGCTTAGGAGAGTCAGAGGTTTCCTAAAGGAAGCATCACTTGAAATCAGACATGAGAGATCAGTTCAAGTTGGCTAAGGGGACAAGAAGTAGGACATAATTGACTAAGACATAGGAGCAAGAAGAAACATAGTAGAGATTATAAAAGGCAAATAGAGGCTGAGAGTGTAGCTCAGTGGTAGAGCACTTGTCTAGCAAGTGCAAGGCCTTGGATTCAGTCTGTAGCACTACAAAAGAAACATTGGGGAGGTGGTGTAAAAAGTAATCATTGACATCACACAACTGCTTCTAACCCTTAAAGAAATTACCTGATACACATAGTTTAGTACACCAATGCCGGTATATGGACATTTTATGATGTGGAATTAAGATTTACTCTAAATTGATGTGTGTCAATTGATCCTCTACCATTGTTAAATAATCTCCATTGTTCCTTACTAAGCTGCCCTTATAGTCCATTATATCAGGCACCTGTGATAAGAAAATACCATAGATATAAATTATTAAGGCATCAAAGCATGGTTTGTTGAGGTGAGACCATAGTCAAACTCTGGAGACAGTGGCACTCTGTACATAAGGACACAAGTAAGCAACATTAGAAAAGCATGATATTATTAGACAGAAACCATTTTTCACAAGTAGGCATTTAATTAAAGACAGAAAGATTAATTATCCATTGATTAAATGCACGCAGAACCTTCTTGAAGCTATGCAGCTGTTTGGTGGCAGAATGAAAGTTGAGATTATCAAAAAGAGAACTCATTTGAATCCCACATGAAAAAAGTAATTGCCCTCCATGTGTTGTGGCTGGGCCTAACTCAAATCCCAGGAGCAAGATTCTCCTGGAAACTTCAGCACTTTGCTTGCACAAATACCATCCCAAATGAGCAGAAGAATCTTTCACTGAAAGTTTATTAGCAGATATCTGGGTACAGAAACTGTACTAAGGGTTTTTCTACATGCCATCTCTAAAAAAGAACTGATTCCTTCCCACAATTTCCTATATTCATTCAGGGACAGAGGTTAAATAATGTAACAATTGTGAATCTTTACTAGTTGTAAAACCAAAGTGTCCAAATAGGAACATGTATTCTTCATTTTTGTAGAGATTCTTCATTTATTTGGGATCCTAGCCCGATTTAGACTGCTGGCTTTGTACATTCTTTCATGGTTCCAAAGGAAAGGAAAGCTCACAGGCAATTTTTATCGAAAACTCTCTAATAGCTCCTACTTTATGGAGGGGGAAGATAACCCCTACTAGACTTTTGCTACCGCAGACTGAGGCTGATACTTTAAAAAATATTAGTCCCAATATGACACATATTTCTCAATAGCCACTGAAAATGGAAGAAGTATATTTTTGTATTTAATATCACATGTACTGTTCCCGACCCCTAGCTGTGTGACTGAGGATAACTAATCTCTCTGAAGCTCAGTTTTCTTATCAGTGAAGTGGGAAACATAACAGAATCTGTCTCAGTGAGTTGTATTTTGAAACAAGTTATTGAGGTATGATTTATATATCACAAAATCCATTGTAAGTATACAATTCCTTACAATCCATTGTAAGTATACAGTTGGAAGAGTTTTAGTAAACATACTGAGTTGTGCAATCATTACCATGCTGCTTTGTTATACACTCTCATCACCCCAAAGAAACCCTTCATGCCTATTTGCAAGCACCCCCCTTTCCCACCACCAGCTCCCAGGCACCACTAATCTACTTTTTGTCTGTATTTGTCATTTCTGGATATTTCATGTAAATGGAATCAATACAAGATGTGGCCTTTTGCATCTAGCTTTTTCCACTTAGCAAAACATTTTTCAAGTTCATACATGGTGCAACCTGTTATCAGTACTTCATTCCTTTTTATTGCAAAGTAGTATTCCTTTACATGTGCTTCTGGGTGTGCATGTGTGTGTGTTCATCAGTTAATGAACAATTGGTCTAGTGGTACTTTTTGGCTATTATGGATAATGCTACTATGAACATATAATATGTACAAGTGTTTGTATGATAAGGCTTTATTTCTTTTGGACAGAATCTTGAGTGTGAAATTCTGGGTCAAATGGTAAATTTATGTTTAAGTTTGTAAGAAGCTGCCACACTGTTTTCCAAAGTGATTGTGATGTTTTACATTCCCACCAGTGAAGTTCTATCGTCTCCCTATCCTCACCATTAGTTATTGTCTGCCTTATTTATTACAGCTATTCTGGGGAGGGTGAAGTGATATCTTGTTGTGGTTTTGCTTTGCCTTTTCCTAATGACTAATGATGTTGAACATCTTTTTGTGTGCTAATTAACCACTCACATATCTTTTCAAAGAGATAGTTGAGGATTTAGTGAGACAATAATGTTGTAATGCACTTAGGAAGCAATTTCTTACTAAATGATAGATATTAAAATTGTTATCATCATCATCCATAGGCTTTGAGATTAAACTTTCCTGAGGTACCATGTTAGCTTTGTTTCTTACTTGTCTTGTCATCCTGAGAAAGCTATGCAATCCCTCTGAATCTGAGCATTTTCATCTATGAAATGGAGAAAATATTATAGTTCTTCAATTCTAAGCACAGTATTTATTGAAAAATCACATTTTAGGAAAAAGCGCAAGTTCCATTTTATATAGAAAGTGTAAGATCCATCTCAGTTTCAGAAAAAAGATTTAGTATCCATCTTAGACTTGGAGAAATACAGAAATGTCTACCTTTCAAATTTGCAAGACGTAACATGTAAAGCACAGCATAAAGTTTTCAGAAAAGGTTACTGTTATTACTATTATCAACTATATTAGTAAAATTACTTAGAGATTTATCAAATGTGTATTTTGACAGATGTCAGTAAAGTGACCACAGGATTTTTGTTTTAGTTTTTTATTTACACTAATGTGAGCATATCAGTTCTAAACTCCCTGGAAACTCCATCAAAGCTTACACTGCCCTGAGTATCTGGCATAGGCCTCTGTGTGTTCATGGATATGTGTTCAATAAATATCACTTAGATAATGAAGGAAGCCACCTCTAAGCCACTTCTAAGGCTTATCATCCACCAGGTTTAGACAGTGTTTAGTATACGACTAGTTCTCAAATGATGGCAAATGGCCAGGCAGGCAACTTCACTGTGTGTAGACATTGCAGTTGCACTTGAGAATTCATGCCAAGTTTTGCATGGAATCATCTTTGTGCCTAGTATTATCAGGATCGAGCTCATACTACGTTCATATTGTAGCCTTTTTTCTGATCAATTCAATCTGTAACTTCCTTGCACTGAGCAAGGCACTGTTGTGTTTTTCAGGGGGGTATGATGGAAATGATGTGGAGTTCATCTGGCTGCGAGGGAATGACTCTGTGCGTGGGCTAGAAAATCTGCGACTTGCTCAGTATACTATACAACGCTACTTCACCTTAGTCACCAGGTCACAGCAAGAGACAGGTAACCTGTGTGACAAACTGTACAAAATAAAAGTAACTAAACCAGGGTGGAGCATCATATTCTGAGTCAGAAATATCTCTTCACTTTACCCGTTTGAAGTCCAACAGCTCCTCACTGGTGGGGAGTGGAGAATAGGGTCTGGGCTGTGTCCTGCCACTCTACACCAAAGAGCAGACCTCGAGGACAGCTCTGAAACCTGGCACTGTTTACCTCCAGATAGTTGCTAATGACTGTTCAAATTCTGCACCTCCTCTTGCACAAAATTTACTTATGTTTCTAACTAACACACTAGCTCTCTGTCACTGTGGAATCAACGTAAGAACAGAGCTCACAGATGAGGAAGACAGCAGCAATGCCCAACAGGAGCACAAACACCTAATTATTGTAAGCTTGGCGGGAAGAATGACATGTTCACATTATTTATCAGAGTTGGATCTTTTAGTCTTTGGTGGGTTTAGATAGACATTTTCTAAACAGTATGGTTTCAAAGCTAAGCAATTGGCATTTTCTTCCCATTTCTCATGATAATATTAGAAGAATGCTTATTCTCACCAATATTTTTACCCTGAAAAATTATCATGTAATTTAGTTGATCCTAGATGACATTAAAGGTCATATGTATACCAAGATCATGACATAAGAATTATAAACTGAAGGCTATACATTGAGAAAAGATTGGAAGGAAATCTGTTTGTTTCTCCTTTTGTTATTTTCCCAAACTTAAGCAGTTAGTGTGTATTACTTTTATAATAGATGGATAAATGAATATACTTTATTTTTTAAAAAAACAAGTTTGTAAATTGGGTTTATGTTGTCATCATTTATCAAACCTGAATTCTCAATTTGGGTTTATGCAGAAAAAATGGCTTCAGACTTCCAAATTACTCAATTTCAGGTAGCACATCTCTACTTTAGGTACAAAAGAGAGTTATTATTTAATCAAATATTAGTTCTAAGTGTTTTATACAAAATTGACTTTTTTGGGGTTTTTGTTTTTGTGGTGGTTGTGGGTTTTGTTTTGTTTTTTAGGTTTTTTTAGACAGGGTCTCACTATGTAGTTCAGGCTGGTCTTGAATTCACTGAGTAGGCCAGGCTGATGTTGAATTTATAGGGATCCTCCTGCTTCAGCCTCCTGAGTTCTGAGATTACAAGCATAAACCACCACACCCAGCTTAAAATTGACTTTCAAAATCAAAGGAATAAAGCGGAAAGTATAGACTAGTAGAACATCTCTGGACCAAAGAGCAAAAGATACGGTTTTTAATCTTGCCTCTAACATCAACTATAGGCTCTTATTCAAGTCATTAAAACTTTGTATCTCCATTTCTTCACCAATAAAGTAAAATAATAAGTGATCTCTGAGTCCCATCAAGCCCTGAAATTACATATTTTTATTTTACATTTCTCCAGAAATGTTTCTCTCTGTAGATATTTAATGTTATCATTGCTCCATCTACTCTCCTCTGAGTCAGGTTTCTGTTCTCCTTCACCATTGCACCCAGCCTGACAGGGGCCATTACTACTCTGTCTGCTATCAGCTCACATCCCCCTCACAGAAGCAGTGTGGGAGCAGAGCTTGGTACTTGAATCCATGGCACGTATTTTGTGCTACAGTAGCCTATATGTCACACAGAGTTGTATTAACAATAGGTCTCTATTGCTTATATTATCCACATCTAGGATATATGGGTAAGTTTCCTAAGGATGGCCCTGAAGTACCATAAAATCCAATATAGTTCTGAGATCATCAAAAATTAAATTATATTTAATATGTCTGTTAGGTCCATTCCATACTAATCTTGAAAAATGAAGAGTCTCGGGTAATCTTCATTAAATAGATATTTATTAAATAATTATTTTGTGAATGCAGAATTGTAAGACACAGGGCTTGCCCCCATGGGTGGAGTGCACTGTCTAGTAGGCAGATGTCAAGGAAATCTATGGATTACAAGGCTGTGGGAATCTTATGATAAAGAAAAGCATAAGAAGAAAAACATAGGTGAAGGTCAGCACCCTGTAAATCCCATTCCATACAACAGCAAGGTCATTTGTGAAAACAAAATGACAGTTCCTAGTTAACTAAATTTTGAAGGAATAACAGAGGGTTTAATATGAATATAGTACAGTTAAACATCTCATAAGGAAACTATTTCACTGCATGAACAGACATGACTTCATATTTCTTGTGTACCCTATCAGGAAATTATACACGATTGATCCTGCAATTCGAGCTTCAGAGGAATGTCCTGTATTTCATTTTGGAAACCTATGTTCCTTCCACTTTCCTGGTGGTGTTATCCTGGATTTCATTTTGGATCTCCCTTGATTCAGTTCCTGCAAGAACCTGTATTGGTAAGCAGCTCAAATACTCAATTTCTAAGATCTGGGCTAGCAGGTAGTTATTTTTTCTTTTCTTTATACCATTGTTTTCATTGATACCACCAAAAGAGTTCCAAGAGTTAGTTTATTAAGAAATTCTTTTACAGAGAGAGAAAGAGAGACTACTTGAGTAATGCATTTTAAACCTTGTTTTACCATGGCACACAAAGGAGAATTTTGACTGGATGATCCATTGTCTGTTGTTTCTTCTATTGACCACTCCTCTCTAAGGAGAAGATAGAAAGTGAAACATTTAGAAAATTACATCACTCATATCTATACAAAATGGACAAATCAATCTTGTTCCAGAAGGACACTGATTTTTCGAAATGAGTGATTCTTCCATTTCTGAGTCCTGTCCTCACCTTGTCAACTTCTGAATGAAGACCCTTTGCTACGTAATAGAGAAGGCTTAACTGGCCACCAATATGGAAATGTTTCCTGCCTGTCTCCCCAGGAGTGACCACTGTCTTATCAATGACTACACTGATGATTGGGTCCCGCACATCTCTTCCCAACACCAACTGCTTCATAAAAGCCATTGATGTGTACCTGGGGATCTGCTTTAGCTTCGTGTTTGGGGCCTTACTCGAATACGCAGTTGCTCACTACAGCTCCTTACAGCAGATGGCAGCCAAAGATAGGGTAAGAATTTTGAGGACCCTGTCTGTCATCCATCACTTGTGCTAGGTGCTGAATGTGGTTGCTCTCCCCCAGTGATTCACTTTGTTCCAGTGAGTCTCATCTTGGTTCATATGAGCACATCTGGAAGCCATGGTACCCCTTGAAAAAGACCATTCTTTTCACCAAATACAATGAAAATTAATACATTTAATTTTCTGGCAGAAAATAACTGTTATCTACATAAAATTATAACCACAAGAAGTATCCATGAAAAATCCAATATCAAATCAAACATGATCAGCTGTTTACAAGATTCAGATTAATATGTAATTCTTATTTAATTATTTTGTTACATTCTTATATTCTTTATTATACAAGTAGTGATTTACCAAAAACTATGAAGAAAGTTAAATTGTGTGAAGTTTCTTGAATAGCACATTTCTTTGCTTGTTGGGAGAGACTGTCATTATTTAAGGGTGAAGTACCATGGTCCAGCTCTGTGAACAAAATAATGGTTATTATTTATTGAGCATTTACATGAACCAGATACAGTAACAAGCCTTTTGCAAATATTATATCCATTTTAAATGCTCATAACAACCCAATGAGGTTGTTATTTACATTTTCACAGTTGTAGAATTTGAGGAACAAGAAGGGTAAGTAACACCCTAGAGATACATATATTAAAAGATATACCTGGGATTCCAACCTAAAACTTCTTGACTCCAAACTGACACTTCATTCCCTCTTATAGGGACCAATGGGCCATCCTCTTAACTATTACTCTTTATAGGCCTATGGAACCCTTGGGTTATTTGGAAGCCAAATTTGATAGATATCAGCATGCTAAATAAAGCTCAAACTAGCAAGCAAGAAAATTATAAGGACCCAATGCAGAATAGGTTCCCAGTTTTAGCAATGTGCTAGGACCATACTGGGTCTGATAGCAAGGAAATGAGGAATCAGAATAGCCCAAAGAGCGAGTTGCTTTTTCCCTTGTGTTTGGTGACTGTGAACATTTCACAGTCTTATTACCCAAGCATCAAAGGCATATGAACATGTGTACCAGCTGAAGAAGAATATAGATTTTATTTATTTACTGACTATAAGCTCTTTTAGGGAGAAGAAGGAAGTTTAATTACACCCCAAATCCATATTTGCTAGGTTGGCAAAAGGGAATTTGGAGAACTACTAAGATTCTCTACTGAAGATTCTAAGAAGCTCTTATCTTGATGCCTGTAGAAAAGTTGGTGGACTGTGGAGTATTTGCTGTATCCTAAATACCTACCCATATCTCTTTTAGTTCACAAAACAACAGAATGAAATGGGTACAGCTATTATCTTCATTTTACTACTAAGAAATCTGCCACTCAGAGAAGTGAGGTCATTCATCCAACACCCTATTCTTAGCAAATAGCCTGGCCAAAAATCCAAACCACATTCTTTCCAACTTTTTTACACTTTCCACATTCTGTGTCACCTGCTCCACGCTGAAGAATGGCAACTCCTTAGAATTCCAGGGGACATTCCTATGCCTATTTGTGAGGTAAAGACCTCAAGATACAGCTGATTTCTATTATCTCTCATAATCCATTACTCCCCTCTCTCTGGAACAGAATAGAGCTTCACCAAATACCTACTAGATGATTTATATAATTTATACCACTTACTCTTCCATCAGTCTCATGAGGTAGGTATTATATCATCACCATTTTGCAGGCAAGGAAATCAAATCTTAAAAGGATTAAGGTGACAATTTTCACAAAAGTGTGACCAGGTGGGATTAAAGCCAACTTCATAACCTGAGCATTTGTTATTTAGCACACTGTTATGCATGTCTAGGGAAGGCGGTGGTTATTCTCCCCACCATACATGCTGGTGCCTTACAGATTGATGCCTACAAACAAGATAACAAGACTCTAAATCTGGCTTACTGGGCTGTTCTTGAGATTCTCAATACCACCCTTTTTAAACCTAATTATTCAATACTTAGCCCCTAAACTTTTCATTAACTCATTGCATACTTACTTATTTTGCTAAGTCAAGTCTTCCAAGCTAACTGTATTATCTATGGACTAGGGGAAAGTGAAAGAAGCAGAAGAAGTCAATATTGCAAACATCATCAATAGCTCCATCTCCAGCTTTAAACGGAAGATTAGCTTTGCCACCATTGAAATTTCAGGTGATAACGTTGACTATAGTGACCTGACAATGAAAACCAGTGACAAGTTCAAGTTTGTCTTCAGAGAAAAGATGGGCAGGATTGTTGACTACTTCACAATTCAAAATCCCAGCAATGTTGATCGATATTCCAAACTCCTGTTTCCTTTGATTTTTATGTTAGCCAATGTATTTTACTGGTCATACTACATGTATTTTTGAAATGATGTTGGACTTTTGCATGCCATAGATCTTCAGCACAGCAAGGTAATGACGTAAATTGTATTTTAGGTAAAATGTACAGTACAACCCAATGATGCTACAAGTGGCTAAAATAATATCTAAGCATTTTTCCACAAAGAATGAACTCACAACCATTAGAGATCTAAGTTGTGTAGAAGTCCTAGCATTACAGGGTTTTGTAATAGAAGCATGAGCCCATTCTTCTTTCACCTTTATGAAGGACATCCTCATCGATCCCAGGGTTACAAACCTACTCAGGGTGACTGCTCAGTGACTCCCTGGTTTGCATTTACCTCACATAAAACATGAGAAGGAGAACACTATATCTACTGAGTACTCCTCAAGTGTCAGGGGTTATTTCTAAATCATACACGAGCCACTCAAAGTAGTCATACAAACTATTTACTGAAACTCTTCAGTGCTTATAAAATTCATTATTGCCTATTTAAGCAACATTTTCTAGTTTTTGTTTTTGATTAAAATGGGATGTGTGTGTCAGTTCACTGGCACTCAGCTCAATACCATGATGCGTTTTTAATAAGGAGGATTATTTAATACCACAGCAGAATTATCCTCAAGTTCCAATCAGTCCTATCATTGAAAAATCAAACGTAAATGAATAAAAAGTTAGGGGATCAATAATCACTCTAAAACATAAATCCCTTGTTTTTAATATATAATGGATTCCCAAGACTGAAAGGACTCTTGGGCTTTATTTCTTCTGCCATTATGTGCACATCAGTAGTAAGCAGTGCAAAATCCTTTTTCCCACATCAGGAATGGAAATGGAAGAAATTTTTTCACTTTTTCTCGGAGTTTTAATATGGACTATTGCCACGAAGACTTGCCGGATCACATTCATTTTCTAACTACCTTTACTCACATACTGGTGAGGTACTGAAAGTACCAGGTGGACACAGTCAGAGAGTCCTCTGTTATTCTGTCATTTCTGATGCTCTAACATTGAGAAACATTTTGCCGTCAGCAAATTCCCTGCATCCTTCCAAGAGGAGCTTTAATCCTGTACCCTAATGACCAGGAATGATGCTTATGAGAAAATGAGCTGCAGTTCCCAGGTAAAAGTGGCTTAACTCAAGTAGATCTGGCCTTGCTCAGATGCTCAATCCTTCTAACTGGACTACTTTGAGCAGCTCATCTTGCATGAGGAGGAGCATACTGACCCTAAGTCCTAATGCTCTGAATAACAGTGTTGCAGAACCTATGCACAGATGCCCCTGAGCTGCCTTCTCTAAGTCCAGCAGTCTCACTCTAATACAAGTAAGTCTGTCCCTCTGCTTCATAGCCAACTTCAGCCAAAAGCACCATATGAGTGTGCCAGGGAAAGGCTTACATTTCAGCCTCAATTATTTTAAAGAATCTCACTGGCTTCAATTCTTTCTTTCCTTTTCTAATAAATGCTCAGGTTTACCCTTCCTTTCAGAAGTAAGCCACAGCTTTGAAAGGTCATTTCTTTTCCTCGATTTCCTGTATCCATAGGCTTTCATTCTCTCGCCATTATATTTATCACAATTCAGTTTCTATGGGTTTGATCTCTTGACCTTTTAACACATGTTTCTAATGGGAAGTGGGATTAAAAGAGGTAGAATGTGGTTGAATGGTTCAATTATACTTGTGATTTTTTTAAAAGTTTTAAAAATATATGTTACGAAGCCTTGTTTAAGCTATTATATAAAGATAACTATAAAGATATAAGACTGTGAAATAAATGCACCATATTAGCTACCTATTATATCAAGTGATCATCTATGTAACATTTGTAATAATGTCCCATTTGGAAAAGTACACATTTTGTTCAAACTTCTCCATCCTCATGTTCCCTTCACCCCAGAAAGCGCACATATGCGCACGCGCGCGCGCGCGCACACACACACACACACACACACACACACACACACACAAACATTCTTTCTCTTATTTCCTACACAGGAAACAGTAAATGCAAAAGACACAGGTGATGTCTCTCTTTGATATCTCTGCACTTTTGATATCTTGCAGTTAAACAACTGGGCCAGGTAATGTCAAAAAAAAAAAAAAGATTCTCTTCTAAACCTTCTGTATTATTATGGAATTCTTTTTTCCTTTTTGTGAATGGTAGTGTTATAGTTTGAGAATATGCTTTTAAAAGAAAACAATCCTTAAACATTTTTATCTCTCTGCCCTTTATGCAGGCTACTACAATATTACAGTTCTCAGTAAAAACTCCTAAATAGTCTAGATTTGCCCCACATATCCTACCTACCCAGAGGAGTCCCAGGACTCACTTTATTCAAAATATTTGTTTCTTGGTTGAAAATATAACCCCATTGAATTTTCCAAGGGCATACAACTAGGTAGGGGTCAGGAATATTCTAACCAATGAAAACATAATAATTTAATTACCTTGGTATTCAGAATAGCAATAGTCTCAATATAGGGAATTACACAAATATAAGAAGGCATTCAACAACAAGTAAATAACTAAATTTTCATTTCAAATGACAGGGAAAAATGAACATAGCAGAAAAAAGCTTGAGATTATAGTTGACTACAAACCAAAAATGAGCAGGCAATGCAGGAAAATACCATTAGAAGAAGGGTACTGTATGGACTTTTATTCCCAGGCAAGTATAGTGATGTGCATATGTGGAGGTCAACATCCAGAATCAAAACACGGTCCTTTCTCAATGTTGTGTATTATTCTTACATATGTGGAGACATTCTTCTCAGCTGCTGGCCTAAAGTGAATTTTTGTCTCTCCATGACGCCTTTACTGCCAAAGCTCCTTGCTTTTTAAAACATACACTTTAAAAATTTACTCAACATACAGAGAGTTACACTGTAATACATTATCAATGTAATTTATATCATATCAATGACTTAAGAAAGATCAAATTAAATACTTGTTTTATCTATTTTTAAAAATTTTAAATACAATTAAAAATTTACAATTTTAAAATATATAATTTGTTTTTTGTAAGGAGTTTAGATATGTAAGACAGTGTAATATATTTGGGCTGAAAAATCATTGAGATCAATTTTGAAGAATATACACACCAATTTTAAAAAGATGTATAGAAAAAGGAAAAGAGTGAGAAATGACAGAGATGACTAAAACAATGAAAACCTCTATAAGAATGAGGCTTTGCCCCTAGAGAAGGAGGGCTAAGAAATAATGACCATCATCATTAGGTTCAAGAAAGATTTTATACAAAGAATATGCTATTCTACTACTCATCTATTCACCTGAATCAGTGAACTGAGTGAATGTAAACAGGCATAAATAAAGTTAGGAAAAGCTCTAATTGTTTAAAACAAAGAAAACACACAAGTTGAGTAAAGAAATTTTCAGATATTCCATCTGGAAATTTCCCATGGAATCTCTTCCTTCTGATTTTGCCATCCATGTGCCTAGAAACAGATGGCTCTATTCTACCAGATGACCTTGGAGGGTTGTAGATGCAAGGAGATGCCTCTGAATGCAGAAGGTTAAAGTACTACTCTAAAAATAGTGCTAACATAAAAATGAATGCTTCAGAATATTTCCACTGGCCCAAGAAGTTTAGCTTCAAAATGATCGTTTCTTCTTGGGAACTTGAAATAGAATCATGTGATTCACAACTTTTAATGACTTGGATGTGCTACAGATCTTAACCATCCAATGTAACTACTTTTAATCATGCCTGTAGAGGAAAACAAATTCCATTTGGAAAACTGGAAAAGGGAACAGAACATTAAAAGTAAATTAGTAGGCCTGGGGAGATAGCTCAGTGGTTCCACCGCCTGTCTTGCAACCCTGGTACAAAAAAAATAAAGTAAGTTAGTAATTACATGTTTGTCCAATGTCTCTGTGATCTTTGAATATACAGGAATTTGCAAGCAAGCCACTTCTGTAAGTGAAGACTAGCAACAATTGCCAAAAGGTCTTGGAGAGTTGAGTGGTCCGTATCCATTATTCATGGCATGCCTTTACTCAAATAAGGCCAGGTGAATTTTATTGTTAAGATCAAGAAATAGGATTTTATATTTCATCACTTGAATCTTCATATTCATCCAGAAGTTTTTCTTCCTACACAATACAGAAACGTAGTTTACATACTTTGAAGCTAAAAGGTTATATTTTACCTTTTATAAAGAATTATGTAGGAAAAAAGATAGTATCATAGGTTGGAGACTGCTATCCACAACCATTTTGTAAATTTGGCCCCTGGCTGGCATCTGAGAACTTAGATTTTGGGAATGTTCCTATCATTCCCTAACTGATAGAGTGGCTTAATGTGCCTAAATTATTTGGACAAACAAGATGGTTTATACCAAATACCAGCTTTCTTTCTGAGAGCCTGGAATTTTGGTACTTTGTTCGTGGAGAATGCCTATGTGACTATCCCTCAATAAAATCTTGGGCACTGAGCTCTAGTGAGCTTCTTGGAAGAAATCAACTCATACATGTTGTCATGTTCTGCAGAGATTAAGCACATACTGGGTGACTCTGCAGGGAGAAAACTCTTGGAAGCTCATGCTCTGTTTCCTCTGAACTTCACCCCATATGCCTCTTCCTTTTTCTGATTTTGTTGTGGATCCTTTTGCTGTTATAAATTATAGCCATATGTATAACTATATACTAAGTCCTGTGACTCCAGATAGCCAACCATCCAGCATTAAGGTTGTCTTGACTTGGAGGCACATGCTTTGGAGTACTGGTTCCTAAACCTGGCTGATCACTGGACTCACTGATACAGCATTAGAAAAACACTCTCCTAAGTGTCACTTCAACCTATGGACTCAAGATTGTATTTTTCAAAGCTGTTCAGATGCTTCTGGTGGAAAGTCGGCAGGGAATACAGATGCCAAATACCTCGGTAGAAAACAAAACAGCTGCATAAAACTATATTCTCAGAGAGAAAAGGTAATATTGTATGTCTACCACATGGAAGAGTCCAACTGAATATGATTACTGAATATGAATAATGTATAAAGCAGACAGAACACAAAATTTTTCCTTTGTCTCATTGAATCTTCTATGTTAGTGCCAAGAAGGAACAGAAAAATATCCATTTCTGATATGGCTAAAACATAACAAAAAGGCATCCAGTGATAAATGTGTGGTTGAGGAGTGAAGCAGATGTAGAGGGTACAGCAGTTGTTCACTGCAAGTTCTAGTATTTGACACACTAAACTTTGATAGTAAATGAACTAAAAACTATACTAGGTAAGTAAAACATTAGATTCCATGCAACCAGAGTGACTCCAAAGTTTCAATAAGAATACTCCTTGGAAAAAGAGAGGAGGACTTGGCTGAGAAATTAGATCACCAAAGTTGTGACATAAAAAGGAATCTCTAAATTCGGACTCCTTTCTCATTCTTATGGCTTCTTTCAATCTGATCCACCAACTTATTCTGTATCTACACCAAAACCAAAACCCTTCTGAATCAGGATTAATTATGCATATTACCTTGTAGATTAAGACACTTGTTTGATTTTCAAATATTAGAAAAAATCTTGAGGCTGGCTTTTTAGGATGAACACTTCTTATGGACATACTGAGCAATCAGAAAACATGGATATGTTCTCATAAAACACAGAAACGTGGCATGACTGATGAATAAAGAGTTGGTTTCTAAAAGAGATTTCTCTTTAGAGGAAGTAGGCAAATATGTCCCTGATGGATTTGCTTTTCAATAACAAGTTATTGAACCAATTCGCCAAAATATATCTTGAAGAATCAAAAAGCCCTCATTCATAAATCAAATCGTATCTATGGAACAAAACAAAGGAAATGGGAGAGGATGACAGTAGAAAGTGATAACCACAAATATCACCAATAAAAGTTAGTCATATACTGTGGCATTTAAAGCCACAAACCTTAGAATGCAATAATAAAGTGAATTTTCAGAATGTAAAGAAGTCCCAAGAGAAATTATCTATTTAAAAGAATATGAGATGTACCTTTACTGGGTTTGTATATTGCTTACATCCTAACAAAACATTCTAATCCATTTCACAGTGGGATTCAAAGGCAAATTCTCAACAAGGGAAATAGAACTTTGTTTTTTATCTACTCCTGTAGTAATTTAATATAATTTATCAAGTTATTTTTTTTCATAAAGAATCCAGTTGCATACCCTTTCACACTTATCCCAAAAGACTAATCCAGTTTAATTTAGTGTAGGAGCTCAGAAATGATAGTCAAGAGACCTAGACTCTGCCATTAACTTAATCTCTATTTGCCTAAGTTTCCTAATATATCAAGTGGAACAAAAACATTTACCCTTTCTATCTCACAGGTTTGTGAGAGGGTTAAAAATTAGATTATAAATATTAAAGTATTTTGGAAACACATTTTGTAAATCACACAAAAGTGTCCTACTTAATTTGATACATGATTATGCATGCATTACACACCACTAGAAAATTATGAAGAATTGGGAGGTAGTTGATACATTGTTAAGTCCAGCCAGTTTATGTAACATACTGGTAGATAAGAGTCAGAGACATCACAAGATATGTCCAAGAGCACAGGACACAGGCGGAACTAGAAACCATATCTCCTAAGCCCAACATTCTTCTCACTGCTCCTGTTACCTCCTCAAGCACTTCTGTGCATCTACTTTATATTCTGTCGAGGCAGAAGCAGCTGCTGCGATAATTTTCATGTCTTTGCTACTAAATCAGGTCATTCTTCCCCAAAGGGGATTTTTAAAGACAATTTTTTAGCCCAAACAACCTAGTTTCTAACTCCTTACTTCTAAAAGTCTTTGCAGAGCAGGTCACAAAAGCTGGCATCCTGCACACACACACACACACACACACACACACACACACACACAATCTTTGACTTGGCTAGCTTCTGTAAGAACTCAGTTGGCAAGAACATCCTATTTCATTTCTGCAAAGGCAAAAGGCCTTGGAACATGATCTCTCAGCACTACACAGGTTTTTAAAAAATATATTTATATGTACACACAATGCTTTCCATGGCAATGAATCTTCTACATTTTTAAAGGTAAGTTGTATGTCCTGACACTATAAATGGTGATAAGGGTATTTCAAATTATCTCCCATTTGCTTACTGTATTAACCAAGAGAGTACATAAAGGGCAATAAAGTTATGTCTTTATCAGAAAAGCATACAGTGCTTTCGTAATCACTGTGCTATCATGCACTATTGTCTCTCAAAGTTTTATAATGTTTTCCAAATAGAACATATGCATAAAATAACTTTTATGCAGTTTGCTCGAGTAAAATATTAAGAATAATCATCACAATGCAGTCCAAGGTGGTTTTCTCATTTTGCTTCTTCCCAGATATTTTAGATACATTTGATGTTATGAATCACATAAAAGAACAGGAGTCCATGGTGCATATGTGCTAGTCAATAGCTACAATTTATTAAGTGCCAATCACATACTAAGTTCCTCACCTGCTCCCTCTCTCTCTCTCTCTCTCTCTCTCTCTCTCCTCTCCCTCATCCTGATTATAAATTCCCATAGGGCAAATGTTAGTAACTATTTTGTAAATGAGGAATAAGTGACTCACTGAGATTAAGTGGCTGGCTCATGGTAATAGAGTTGGGAAGCAGCAGAGCTGGGATTTGAACATAGGTATATTCAGCCTCAGCATCCATGCTCATCCACAGCACCATTTTGCCTCACTCTTACAAGTTGTTAGAAGTCTCCAGAATCAACCCAAGGCAGACAACAATATTAATTAAAGAACAGCCGGGGATTTAGCTCAGTGGTTCCACTGCCTGCCTCACAAGAGCAAGGTCCCAAGTTGGATCCCCGGTACCAAAAAAAAAGAAACAGTAAAAAATAACAAGAACATGCCTCCTTCACCTTACTATCTTAGGAAGGCCACTGAACTTTCCATCTTCAAAGGCACTCACAGATTTGATTAAAAGAAGCAAATTGGGCTGGGGATTTAGCTCAGTGGTGCCACCGCCAGCCTCGCAAGTGCAAGGTCCTAAGTTCGATCCCCGGTACCAAAAAATAAAATAAAATAAAATAATAAAATAAAAGGAGCAAAATGACTCTGTGAGGAATTCAAGGAGTGTACTGGAGAGGTGAGGTGCGATAGCTTTGAGCTGAGTCCACCTGGCTCAAATCCTTGGCTCTGCCTATTACAAGCTAATTGTGTGGCCAGATTGAACCTCCTTGAACCTTACTTCCTTCTCTGTAAAACAGGAAAAACATCCTCATGGTCTTAAATTATGGAATATGTGCAGTGCACACAATGATACAAAGTGTGCGGAACACCTAACAGTTTAGAGGATATTGTTGCATGCTCAATAAATGTTACCTCTCTTCCCTGGAACTTTTGCTGTGAGGTTGCTGTACAAAAATAAAAGACACATTATCAGTAAAACAAAACAAAACTCACAGTTTCTGGTTTAACTGGTTTTTGCTGACACCTAATGGCTCTACATCTCTTGATTTAAGAGACTCTTAAAAAACAAAGAGCGGATATCAAGTATTGGGTTCCTATTTTCAAAAACAGATGTTCTTTTTTTATTGAGCTTAGTTAACACTAAAGTCTAGTCAAGCAGCCCAAAATAAAGCCTCGTTGATTTCTGCTGCCAGTTTAAATAAGAAATTAGTGCTAAGAGTGTGAAGAGTTCCTTGAATTTCTAATTAATATTTTAGCCCCTAAACTGCACATCTCACATTTTCTTATTTTTACATAATAAAAATTTAATCCTCATTTATACCATTCTCAAAGTCTTCCTTTTTAAAAAGTCCTGAAAGGATTTCTGAAAATAAAATAAGAGCCTGGCTACATGCAGAGCTGAAATGAGAACCACCTCTAGGTGGGTCTTTTACCCAAGGAAA